ATGCAGAAGGTGACTGGGAGAAATCCATGTTTACAGGCGATAGAAGTTAGGTTGCCCCTATAACTGACATCTTGGGACTTCTGGGCTCATAAAGGGAGAAATGATAGCAGGTACTTGATACAGATAGGTATAGCGATTAAATGAGCGCTAAGACTAGTCTTGTATAAGTTTCTCTCGACTCTGTCATGGTTTGGGCCTATATTTTGAAAAATACTTATATACATCAAGGTTCTTCCTTGATTAAAAGACAGTTCTGTACACCAGAGGGTGCTGTGTTTCAATTTTCATATCTCTCTTTTCCATTCCTATGGTTGTATATTACATGATTCATTTGAGGACTAGCCAGTTGAGAACTTGCCCTGAACAAAGAATTGTTGAAGGTCTGAACACATCCTACTCATTTGCTGTTTTTCCAGCATAATACAAGAGTTCAGAAATGGCTACACCACATGCTCCCTGAGTTTGCTTTGCTGTATGCCAGTTTTTAACCACTGAACTCTCTGTTTAAAACTAGACAACTTTTCTTATGCTGCAGCTTAAGTCCATTTTCAGTATTCTTTGGTGGAAATGAAGACCATCTGGTCACCATCATCTGTGTAATAACAATGATTGAAGATGGTTATTAAGTCACCCTCGGCCTTTTCTCTTGTCTAGGCAAAATTGTCTCCATTTCTGTGGCCATTCCCCATAAATCTCATTTTCTAACCCTTTAATCATCTTGGTGGCTTTCTTTGAAAACTACATCAAAGGCTCAGTTTTAGTGCTTCTATTCTGGTGGGGTCTGGGCTGTCAACATTTAATGGATACAGAATGCGGTTGCTTTAACCATCCAGTGTCCATAGTCAGCCCCTACATTTCCAAGCCAATCACAATCCACTAACCTTAAGGGGCTGCTTTACCATTTCTTCATTGTGGCACACTTTATAAGTATTATCGATTAAGGTGTTGATTTGACTTAGAATTACTTACAAGCTAAAATTTGTATTTTATCTATTGACTGATAGACTTTTGCAGCCTGGTTTGTTGTATTTAAAATCCTTTTGTGAGCTGTCCGATTGTGAGTGGATATATTATTTCTTATCAGAGGATAATCTGATTTTTCCTGTTTTTTATTCATTCATCACCTCTGAGTGCCTACTGGGTGTCAGGCTTTGTTTTTTGTTTGTTTGTTTTAAATATTATTTTCACTTTTCTTTTTTTTTTTTTCTTTTCCATGATAAACTGAGAATTCTAGTGTGTCAGGCTTTATGCTAGGGATTGAGGACCCAAAGATGAACAAAACATGGGGCCTAACTTCAAGGAGCTCACATTCTGGAGGGAAAGCCAGCTACATATACACACACAGTTATAAAGTGAGATGTGCTATAAAGATGGTTGAAGTACAGTGGAAGTTTGGAAAGGCTTTACCAAAGATGTAATATTTGAACTGGGTCTGAGCATGAATTAGTCTTCAGGTGATGAAGGGGTTAAAGAAAATTCTAGTGAAGGGTCTCTAGTACATATGGAAGCAAGGAGTCTGGTGTGTTCAGATCCCAGTGAACCAAGTATGACCAGTCATGGACTTGAGTGGCAGGAGAGGCAGGCAGATGCCAGACTGAAAAACTGCTTGTGCCAACCAGGAAGTGTCCAACATAATGTGAAACATAATGTGAGCTGTGTATGTCATTTAAAATGTTCCTAGGAGCCACATTTCAAAAAGTAAAAATAAACAAGTCCAAAAATGAGCTATCAAGCCATGAAAAGCCATGGAGGGAACTTAAATGAATATTACTAAATGAAAGAAGCCAATCCCAAAAGGCTACATACTGTATAATTCCAACTGTATGACTCTGGAAAATGGAAAATAGTAAAAAAAAAAAAAAAAAAAATCAGTAGTTGCCAGGGTTTAGGGGGGGATAGAGGATTTTTAGAGTAATGAGACTATTTTGTATATAATAACAGTAGATACATGTCATTATAACTTTATCCAAACCCATAGAATATACAACACAAAGAGTAAACCCTAGTGTAAATAAACTATGGACTTTGGGTGATAATGTCGGTTTGTGTTAATGTAGGTTCATCAGTTGTAACAAATGTACCATTCTGGTAGAGAATGTTGATAATGAGATAAGCAATGCGTGTGTGGAGGCAAGAAGTATATGGGAAATATCTGTACTTTCTGCTCAGTTTTGTTGTGTATCTAAAACTGTATAACTAAACATAGTCTACTAAAAAACCAAGCAAGTCAAATTAATTTTAATATATTTTATTTAACCCAATTTATTGAAAATATTAATATTTTAACATGAAATTGATATAAAAGTTATTTTGCTTTTTTAAAGATATTTTATTTTGGGGAATACTAAGTCTTTGAAATCTGGTCTGTATTTTACACTTATAGAATATCTCAGTTTGCACTAGCCATATTTCAAGTACTCAGTGGACACATAAGCTAGTAGCTGCTATGTTGGATACAGCAGGTCTTGAAATTTGGGCTTGGCTGACTCAAAAGCCTCAATTCTCAACCACACTGGTCTCCTGCTCCCTAAGCACTATAATGATAAATACCAGAGCAAAGGAGCTCATAGATGGTGATTCAATCCCATGGTGTCAGCTGTTGCTCTCTATTGCCTGGTGGCTCCAGTTAGGTGCATTGAGGGCAGTGCTGTCCAACAGAAATATAATGGGAGCCACACATGTGGCTTTAAATGTTCTGGGAGCCATACTGAAAAAGTAAAAAGAAATAGGAAAAATTAATTTAAGAATATATTTAACCCAATATATCTAAAATATTATTTCAACATGTATTCATTATTAAATCATTAATGAAGACAAATAGACCAATGGAATAGAATAAAGTGCCCAGTAATAAACCCTCATACATACAGTCAAATGATTTTTGACAGGGGTGCCAAGACCTTTCAATGGGATAATGACAGTCTTTTCAACAAATGGTGCTGGGAAAACCGGATATCCACATGCAAAAAGATGAAGTTGAACCTTTACCTTATACCATATATAAAAATTTACTCAAAATGAATCAAAGACATAAATGAAAGAGCTAAAAGCATAAAATGCTTAGAAGAAAACATATAGAGGTAAAGCTTCATGACATTGAGTTAGGCAATGATTTCCTAAATATGACACTAAAAGCATAGGCAACAAAAGAAAAAGTTATTTTGCTTTTTTAAAGATATTTTATTTTGGGGAATACTAAGTCTTTGAAATCTGGTCTATATTTTACACTTATAGTGTAAAATACAGACTATAAAATACTACACTTGTAGTCCAGATAAACTGGACTACATCAAAAATTTAAACTTCTGTGCATTAAAGGACACATTAAACAGAGTGAAAAGGCAGCCCATGGAATGAGAAAATATTTGCAAACCATATATCTAATAAAGGATTAATATCTAGAATATATACAGGATTCCTACAACTCAAAAGCTACCAGAAAAACCCCAAACAGCCTGATTAAAATTGGCAAAGAACTTGAATAGACATTTCTCCAAAGAAGATATACAAATGGGCAGTAAACACATAAAAAATCTCAATGTTAATATAATTAGGGCAATATAAATCAAAACCACAGTGAGATACCACCTCACATCCATTAGGATGGCTACTCTGAAAAAAGAAAAAGAAAATAAGCGTTGGCATGGATGTGAAGAAATTAGAACCCTTCTGCACTGTTTGTGGGAATGTAAAATGGTGCAGCCACTGTGGAAAACAAGTATGGTGGTTCCTCAAGAAGTGAAAAATAGAGTTACCATATGATCCAGCAATTCCACTTCTGGGTGTATACCCAAAGAATTAATAATAGGCACTCAGAGATATTTGTACATCCATGTTTATAGCAACATTATTCGCAATAGCCACAAGCACCCCAAATGTCTATTGACAGATGAATGGATAAAATGTAGTATATTCATACAATGGAATATTATTCTGCCTTAAAAGAAAGGAAATTCTGACACATGCTACAATATGGATGAACCTTGAGGGCATTTTTCTAAGTTAAATAAGCCAGTTATACAAAGGCAAATACTGTATAATTCCACTTATGTAAAATACTTAGGATAGTCAAATTCATAGAGACAGAAAGCAGCCGGGGGCTGTAGAGGGAGGCAGAATGGGGAGTTATGGTTTAATGAGTACAGAGTTTCATTTTAGCAAGATGAAGAGTCCTCTAGATGGATGGTGATAATGGTTGCACAACAATGTGAGTGTACTTAATACCATTGGACTGGTCTCTTAAAAATTATTAAGATGGTAAATGTATGTGTATTTTACCACAATTTTAAAAAGACCCTCTGCCAAGAAAGATATAATTTCTTCTGGGCCATTAACATATCATATGGGAAAAGAAAAAAAGAAGGGAGATGTGAATAAAGGGAACTAGGAAAAATAATAAAATACCAAAAAATGTAAGCATGTTGATTCAAAAAGGTAATGAAAAGGTGGTTTAAAAGATACCACATGAACATTTGTTCTGCCTTTGCTTTAAATAAAGAACTCTGTTCTATTTGTAATTATTGAGATATTTTATATTCCTTTTCATACTGAGTCTTCAAGTCCAGTGTGTATTTTATCCTTATAGCACATCTCAATTTGGAGCAGCCATGCTTGACATGCTGAATAGCCACATGTGGCTAGTGGCCTCGGTATTGGGCAGCACAGGTCTAGAATCTTTTGATTAGTAGTAAGAAGACAATAGACATTCAAAGCAAGGAGTAGCATGAACAGATTTGTTTTTTAGGATGTCAACTGTGGTGGCAATGTAGGAGGTAGACTGAAGAGGAGGAAGAACTGAGAACTGGGAGCTTGGAGGGTTGTTGCAGGACTCCCAAGCAAGAATAGACAAGAGACTGAATTATGGGAAAAGGCACAAAGATGATGGTGCTGGCCATCATTTATGGTGCACTTGTTATGTGTCAAGCATAGTGTTGAACCTTTTACAACCCATCTTAATTCTTGAAACAACCCTGAGATGAAGCTGTTATCTCCATTTACAGAGGAGGAAATGGAGACTGGAAGGCACCAGCACCAGGCCCAGGTACCAAAGCTTGGAGGTAATGGAATCAGGACACCAACCAGACTTGTCTAGCTCCACAGCGGAAGTCCTTAACTGTTAGACTATGTCTTACAAGGGTGGAGATAACAGGTCAGATTTAAAACACCATTCTTAGATTCATAGGATTTGATGCAGACAAATAAGTGGAAGAAGGGAGAGGGCAGCATAAAGAATGCAGGAGTGATTTGGAGATCTCTGCTGGAAAATCTGAATGGATGGTGCAGTGGACTTGAATGTTTGTGTTTCCCTAAGATTCATATGTTGAAATCCTAATTCCCAGCATGATCATATAAGGAGGTGAAGCCTGTGGAGGGTGATTAGGTCATTGGGTTAGAGGGATGGGATTCTGAATGGGATTAGTGCCCTTACAGCTGTTCTTGCTTTCGTGATTTGTTATTGACTTTATTGCTCTACAGATTAGAGAAGCTCAAGTGCTGAGTCCTGTTCCTCTTCTTTCCCCTGGGTCACCTTGGCACTTTAAGGCTCCTCAAAGACAGGGCCCGCACTCTCAGAAGCTCCCTAATGTGTCTTCCATTTGACTACCTGTTTTGTTGCCCTCCGGGACAATAATGTGGAAATGACCATAATCCTAAAGAATTCTAGGAAAACATGGAATTTTATTGAGTAAATACAGTTGGTCCCATTAGTTGAGCATCACAAGATTGAAAGTGGATTTGCATAGAAATATTTGTCTCTAAGTCATAAAGCTGATGAGCCTAATGAATGGTACTTAAACTCATCCATCAAGGGAAACTGATAACCTCATGATGAAATACTAACAGCATTCACAACATTACTCATAAAGTAAATATTATTAAAACTGTCCTGGGCTTACTAAGGCAGAGCCACAGTCTTTCACTGTTCCCAGGAGTTGAGCCCCAGGTTCCTACAGCTTTGCTCTGCTCAGACTTGGGGCAGTGCCCTCCTCTGGAGGAAGGGCCTAGAGTTCTTCCAACAGAGGGGGAGAGGAAAGGCTTAATAGCACCCTTCCCTTTTGGAAAGTTGAAGTAGATTTGAAATTTGACCTGTTGAATTCACTTAAAAATAGGGGAACCTCTCAAGGCAAATTGATTGAATCCTGTTTGCAATAAACTGTTTTATTGGCATCATAGGATTGTGGGAGAGCTTAAACAACAAAAAAAGCAATATATACCCAAAAGAATTGAAAACAAGGTCTCAAAGAGATATTTGCACACCTATATTCACTGTATCATTATTCACAGTAGCCAAGAGATGGGAGAAACCTAAATGTCCAACAATGGATGAATGCATAGAAAAAATGTGGTATATACAGATCATGAAATATCATTCTGCCTTAAAAAGGAAGGAAATTCTGACATATGCTACAACATGGATGAACCTTGAGGGCATTATGCTATGTGAAATAAGCCAGACACAAAAAGATAGACACTTTTTATATCTAGATTTTCTGGTTGTGTTAGTAGTGGTAGTAGGATAATGAAAACACAGCTTCTTTTCATTCTCTTCTAGTTTAGCTACATCGTGAAACATGATTTCACTTGTAGGGTATCTAAAGTAGTCAAACTCTCACAAAGTAGAATGGCGGTTTCCAGGGGGAGCGGGAAAGAGGAATAGTTGTACAATGGGTATAGAATTTCAGTTCTGCAAGTTGAAAAAGTTCTGGAGATTTGTTGATCAACAATGTGAATATGCTTAACACTAATGAACTGTACACTTAAAAATGGTTAAGATGGTAAATTTTATGTTTTTTTTTAAACCACAATAAAAAAGAAAGAAAGAAAAGCAGGCTGAATAAAACAGCTAATGTACCTCTAGCTGTTACAGTTAATTGTCATCCTTCAGTGGCCAGCTTCTGAGCAGGAGGTGGTGGTAATTAGAGCAGCAGTAATAGCTGCAGTAACTATGATTTATTATTGAACGCTTACTGTATTCAATAATACAGTACCAAATCCTTTTGTATACTTTTTATCAATTCACTAAATATCATGTCAGCTCCATAAGATAGGCATTAATATCTCCTCATTTTACCAATAAGGAAATAGATTATGAGGAATTAAGTCATTTGCCTAGGAGTATACAGTTCATAATGGTAGAGCTCTGGGACACAAACCCAGCTCTGTGTTATGTTAGAGTCTTACCTCCATTCTCAGCTCCCATTTGTTCGCTCATTGGAAGTCATTGCCAAGCACTGTACTGTATCCCAAGGATACAAAGGATATAGGCCCTGGCCATACAGAGCTTAGGGCCTAGCCATGGCAAGAGACAGTAGGCAAGAAAAGAAATGGATAAAGACCCAGTGACCAATTTTGATAAATGTTATGAAAGAAACAATAAGGGTGCTGTCATAGAGAATCATTCAGCTTGGAGTTCAGGCACTGACAAAGACATTTAGATAGGGTGTTCAAAAAGGTCTCACATTCTCTTCTTAACATAAGAAGGGAGAATTCAAAGAGGCGCAAAAGGGAAGAAAGACCAGAAGTCCTCTTTCAGAATTATGTGTGTCTGAAAATGTGGACCCACACGGCCTTGTGATGAAAGAACCTTAGTCCTGCTGAATTCCAGCAGTGTTCCCTTATCTTGCCAGGTCACTTCACTTCAGATGCCTCCTTTGTGTGGGGAAAAAGAAAAGACGTGTACCTTGACTGATTTCTGGTGGTATTGGTAGTGGTAATAGGATGATGAAAACACGGATTCCATTTAGTTCTCTTCTGTACTTCTTGGGCTACATCTTGAATGCTTCGTTCAGTTCTAATTGCCACATTTTGATAAGTGGACAAATTAGAATGTAGTTAAAGAGCAGGTCACTAGAGAGAACGTGGAATGAATTCAGGACACTTATACTGCAGAGGTGAATGCTAAATGATGAAATGATGATCTTCAACTGTGTGAAAAGCTCATATATAGAAAAGAGAATTGACTCATCATGTAGTAAAAAGAGTTGATTTATGTCCCAAAGACAGATCTAAAACCTGGAAACCAGGTCCAACTAAGAAAGAAACTTTGTAATAAGTTGTCATGAGTAATAATGAGCTCTCAGGCTTTGGAGATACTCAGTTGCAGACTGGATAAAAGGTTGCTATAGGATTTTTTAATTTGGAAAGAGGTTGGACTGTACATATTGTCTCATTCCTCCATGTTGGATGTTTCTAAGTTATTTTAGAACTATGGCTTTAAGCTAAAGGCAAATGGAATATATTTAGTTGTAGGTGGAGTGTCCATGTGTGCCACCAGAAAAGTTAAACCAGAAGCTCATCTGTAGCTATTAGAAGTCTGAAATGTAAAGGAGCTCTAGCTCTATAGGGTATTTGACCCTAGTCGCGTATTCCGTAAGGACCTCTGCTTCAACCCCATTAGCCTCTTGCTCACTTGTTGCTATTTATAACAACCCGCATGTTTTGGGAAATGTGCTAGCATTTTTTACCACTTATGTATTTATTCAAATTTTAATTTTTTGTTTTGAATACATAGCACATTCATGTTGTTTAGGATTTAAAAGAGTCTACAGGGAAAAGCTTTCTTCAACCCTGGTTCCCTTTTTCCCTCCCCAGGGAAAACACTATTACTACTTTCTCAGGTATTTTTCTAGAGATATTTTAAATACACACAAACACAAGCACATGTATGATTTTTCTTCTGCACTTTGTTGTTTTGTACTCTAGGCCAGGCGATAGAGTGAGATACTGTCTCAAAAAAAAAAAAATCTTGAAGGTTAATCCATAGCACCGTAAAAAAGTGTTCCCCTCATTCTTTTTCACAAGCAAATATTATTCCATTGTATAGATGCACCTTAATGGATTTGACTGTCTCCTGTTGGTGGGTGATTAGATAATTGCCAGTCCTTTGCTATCCCAATGTTGACAGCGGATTACCGTATACATGCATTGCTTCACACGTGTGCAAGTGTATGTGCAGGCTGTGTTCCTAGAGGCAGAATTGCCGAGTCAAAGCGAATGAGTATTTGCAATTTTGTTAGATATTGTTAAATACTTTGCAATAGAAGTTTTACTAGTTTTTACTCCTGCAAGCAGTGTGTAAATCCTTGCCAACTCAAGCTTTCCCAAAGTAAGCAAAAGAAAAAGAATCAGGGTAATTTTAATTGGCATTTCTCTTGCTGTGAGTGAAATCAAGCATCTTTTCTTGTGTGTAAGATCTTGCTGGACTTTGTGGTGAGGCCATTGAAGAAAGTCATCAATGCAGACTAAGCCTGGAAAAAGGAGGAAGAACATTATATCCACAGGGGTGAGCCAGAGAGTTTTTTGTTTTTTTCAAGTGAATGTTCCTGAGAAGTTCAAGTGAGCTCACCAGCCTGCAAGCTATTTAGCCTGTAAACTGTCTGGCCCACACTGGAAAAATTCAATTAAACAAAACAAATGTAATTTCAGAAGTAAAACCACATCCAGAACAAACCACTTATATTGCTTTTTTAATTTTTAGTTTTAAATTTAATAAAGTAATTTACTTTTGTACTTGGAACAAAATTTAGGATACAATTACATTTTAAAGTAACACGTTTAACTTTGAAAGGAGCTGTCTACAAGGGTGCAGGTTCTGACTACTTAGCTCATATAATAGCCTAGATTTGCTCCCAGCCTCCCTCACCCCCCACCCTTTCTTCTCCCCCCAACCCCTGCTTTCTGTAATTTCTCTGTGGGTTTGAGCAGGTTTTGGCAAAGACTAGAGTCTTTTCATTGGGAACATTGGCATTGCACAGCCTCCCTGCTCATTAGCAGTCTGACCCATTAATTCTCTGCAACATTTGTGACCAAACCCGTTCAATCCGGTTTTTCTCCTAGAAAGGGAGCTTCTTATTTGAGCAGTAGAGATTTGCTTTTTGCACAAAGCTTACCAGGTTCAAACCTATCTTGGCTAGTAGTAACACCGTCCTTCCAGTTGTTTAGGTCAAAAATCTTGGAGTCATCTTTAATTCCTGTGGGTACAATGGTCACATCCTTCATGGATGGATCCTCCAAGGATCCTCCAAGGAATGCCTTTAGGAAATTTTGTTGGCTCCACTTT